AGATTTTTATAGCCAGAAAGGAATCATTGCCATCTTGGCTGATATTGTTGTTAGCAGCTATGTAGTCAGATCTATCATTATGTTTTCAGAACGTGATTCATGTTTTCCTTGGCTGATTTTGGAAGTAGATTATCAAGCTTTGCTTCCTAATCATAATCTTCATCGGAAAACTCCAGTGAAACCTGTTCGGCTTCAGAACACCATCCAGACCTCCCCTGGCAGGTCCTGGCACACATGAGGGCCATCGGCTGGGGACTGAGCTCAGATCTCTGTGCAGAAGGCAAGAATTCACTTACTGTCCCTCAACTAGACAGAGTTTCCAAAATGTCTTTGTCTCCAAGCTAGTTTCTTTTCTCCCTGCCTCTGTCCACATCTGTTAGATGGTGTGAGCAAGGCCCAGGACTCTAAGCGGTTTTAGTATTGATCTAGGCAGAAAACAAGGCAGGTCTGTCTTCCTTTGAAAAAAAAAAAAAGCATTGCTTAACTCCCTCCTCACCTTCTACCCATGTACACACACAAACATAGTGTCTTAAAGAAAGTTTAAGTCAATCTTGACTCATAGAAACCCCATAGGACAGAGTAGGGTTTCCCAATCAGATTTGTAAGCCTGGAAATATTTATGGACACACACTGCCTTATCGTTCTCCCATGGAGAAGCTGGTGGGCTCAAACCGCTAACCCGATTAGCAGCTGAGCACTTAACCATTGCACTATCAAAGCTCACTCCACAATGCCCACTCCCTAGCTTTATTACCAGAGATCAGAAGAGTCACTGGGGGAGGGCCTATTTTTGTGCCCAAGAGAAGCTGAAAATAACAGACATAGAAGGATCGTTTGTTCGAAGGCCCTTAAAGGAGAAGAACTAGAGTAAAGGCGGAACTCTGGATGGAGACAGTTAATTAAAAGTAAGACATTCACTGTGGCTCTCTCTTAAACCAGGAATGACGATTATAAGAAGAAGGGTTCTAAGTATCGCCTCCTCCCTGGGGGATGGACAGCAGAGAAAAGGGCGGAGGGAGATGTCGGACAGTGTAACTTATGACAAAACTATAATAATTTATGAATTATGAAGGGCTTATGAGGGAGGCGAGAAGGGGAGGGAGGGGGAAAATGAGCAACTGATGTTACGGGCTAAAGTAGAAGGCAAATATTTTGAGAATGATGAGGGCAACAAATGTACGTATGTGCTTGACACAATGGATGGATGGATGGATTGTGATAAGAATTGTATGAGTCCCCAATAAAATAATTAAAAGTAAAAAGAAGAAGAAGGGTTCATATTTGTGTAATTCCACCCACTTTTTCGGGGAGCTAGAAGGATTATGAATATAAATGAGCACCTGTCTACTCCTTTTCAGTTTCCGAAGTACTCCCATCTGATCCTCACAGCCCTTTCAGATGAGCAAGTCTGATGTCCACCATGTCACGTGAGAAAGACTCAGAGAGGTCCAGTGACTTACACAAGATGACACAGCTTACAGACAGTAGAACTCCGTTCCAGATCCTGTTCCCCTGCCAGCTCCCCACACCATTCTTCCTTCAGTTTCACTGACCCTCTTGTTTTCCTAAAGATGTGATAGCCTCTTCCAGCCCTTGGTCTTTCCTGATGCCATATTCAAAGTAAGTGAGCCAAGACCACACGAGCCAGGGCCTGGGCTTGTTAGGTCCCAGCTAGTGCGCATTGGTCTTTCCTGATGACATATTCAAAGTAAGTGAGCCAAGACCACACGAGCCAGGGCCTGGGCTTGTTAGGTCCCAGCTAGTGCAGGCCTATGCAAGTAAAGCCCTGGGTGTTTCACGGTCCCAAGTACCCTCTTTAAATTCTGAGCGATCCACCGGTCAACAGTGTCTGCCGCACCTGAACCTTTCCTCTTCCCTGTGCCCTGATGGCTGCCTGTACCTGTCTCGCCCCCGGAGGGCTCATCCTTGGCTTCCTGTCCCTGCTCAGCATGAGTCAAAGAGATGGGGAACCCAACACTCCTGCTCCCTTGAGCCAGGCTTGCATCTTCTGATGGACAAGCTGTCCACATTCAAGGG